TTAAAGCAAGGGCTCAAAAGGGGACATGATTCTTAATACCATATTACCAAGGGTAACCTACTTCTTACTTATATTAATGAATTTGTTAAGATTAATTTAGTCAATTAATTATAACATTATAACACTTGTTAATGCCATTAGGAACTATTGGATGTTGATTGCCACTAAACCAAATGGTAGCACTTCAAGAATATATTATCTCGATTCTCTTGGTGGAAAACTAGAGAGTAGACAAATTTTATTGGAGTTGATTAATACGTAAGTGCAAAAAATAAGTATTTTATACATTTATTTGTTTATTTCTATATTGACATATTTTTTCTTTTTTTTATTAGGGCAATTATGTTGTACTGCACAAACATTAAACAAACAATTCTAAGGTCATTTACAAATTTCGATGCAGCCTGCACTTGGAATATAATAAAGGTAATTAATATCATTTTTTAATTTAAATATTCATAATTTTTTAATGCATTAATATGTACTCATTAGTTCTTTAATTTATAGTGCTCAAGACAAATGAAAAATAGCTTGGATTGTGGTCTCTATGTTATGAGGTTCATGAAAGAAATCATTATCCATAAGGAGAGCACAATTCTTACGATGGTATGCCAACAATTAACTTTCACTTTATAATTGCTAATGAATTTAATTTATTAAAATAAATTTATGGTGGATAATTTATGTTTTACATTGAAGAATTTGGGCATGCACAAATAAATGAGGTAATTGAAGAGCGGTACCAGTACATATTCCAAGTGTGGTCATTGCACAAAGATAAAAATCAATAGATTTAGTGCAAGTAGGATTTGTGTTTATAGTTTTACTAGTTTTCATTCATTTTTTGATATTAGTTGGTAAATTACTTTCCTTTAAAAAATTCTATACATTGATTACTTGATAGATTAGAATAAGAGATTAGTTTTAATTTCATTTTTTATTGATTATAATTAATTTCAATTGATATTCATGTATAAAAATGTTAGAATTACTGTCTGGTTATTATTTGCATAGTTGTTACAGGGAGGCTGCTGTAAATAACAGACCACTATTTAAAAAAAAAACTATAGAATATATGACGGGCAAATATTTGCCTGTCATTTATTCTAACCAAAAATGACGGGCAAATACTTACTCGATACAATAAGTGACAGTTAAAAATTTGCCCATAATTTATGATAAGAATGAATGACGGGTATTTTAAACACCCGTCATTTTTTCTTACAAAAGATACAAAAAATATATTTTAAATGTCAGGTTATTTAACCGTCATTTATACAAATGAATAAATGACAAGTAAATAACCATCATTTATCTAGGGGGACTTTAAATAATAGGGTCCTAAATGACGGTTCATTTATAAGTAAAAAAAACCGTCATTTATGTCATTTTGTTGTAGTAGTGATGCATGTTTTCAAAAAAACAAATGTTTATGTTCAAGAAATGGATTCCAAGGAAATGGATTTTGTGAAAATATATGATTATATAACTATATAAATATATATGAATTTGAATGTGAATAAGTGATTGGTATGTAGCATGATCATAGGGGGTAGGAGTTCACCCATAGGGAGAAGTAGTAAAAAGTTCATATGGCATTATTCTCCTTAGTGACAAGGTACGGTATTAGAGATTATCTCCTTAGTGCTTATATAGGGTACAATGTTGGAAATCATAGCTCCTTAGCATATATGTGATGCTATGTTGGAGTAACGACACCTTGATCATTATGTTTGATAGGGGGAAATTGTAGTTTGAAAGTGGGATAAAACTCTTTTGGCCGGGTGATTTTACCATTGAAGGTGTGCTCAGATCAACAAGTGTGTATTGGCCTAATAGAGCCTATGATTTTAGTTAGGGTGACTCGAATGTTCAGATGGTGGTGATCATGTTAGCAGTGATGATTAATTGTGAAAGTGATTTTATAAAGTGGAAATTATGTTATATGTTATTTGATTATATATATGCAATATTTGTTTATAGTTATTTGTGATATTTAGTAGTAGCAAGTTATTTTATTATTGAGATCATTATCTCACCCCAAGGTTACATTTTTACAAGTCAGAGTAGTGAATCGGGCATAGGGAAAGATGTTGGGCTAACATTATAGTGCTGCTGCAATGGAAAGCAAGAGCTTGTGTAATGAACTTAGTTTGTTGTACATTTGTAAATGAATAAGTTGTTATAGGATTCATATACATGTAATTAGTTGTGATGACTATGGATTTTGAGAATCTTAGCTCTATATGTGTACCATTGTGATGCATGTGGTGAAATATGTGATAACGGGCTAAGATTTGATCGTGAATGTGTTGTGAGCAAGTAAATTGTGTGGTGAATTTGTGGTGAATTAGTGAATCCTAGCCCAATCAAGTGAAAGGTGATTTAGGGTTAGGATTGTGTATATAAAAATTTGAATATATTTGAAGAGATGATTTTGTGGTAAATGTGTAAAGAATTGGCTAAGAAGGTGTTTTATGTAAAGTTGTGAAAAACATCCCTTTATTGTGTAAATGGGTGATTTGATGGCTAAATCTTGATATTTGTGTTTAAATGATAAAATTATTGGTCAATTATGTGTGAATGGTCCTTTTGGACTTAGTTCTAGGCCTAAAACAACCTAATGAGACAAAGTGTATGATTTGAACGCTTTGGTGCATGAAATTTTTTTAGACTAGTGATTTTTTACACCCGACTATCCAAATTTAGATTGGACCATTAAATCGTGTCAAAACCTATCTCATTAGTTAGCTTATAAAATAAATTTCGTGTAGACACTTGAATCATTCCAATTAGAAGTCATATGTGAAAACGACAAACATCGAAAGTTCGCCCCAGCGAATTGTCATATGACAGTAAATTGTTGTCATGTGCGCCACAGCGCATGGTGCCATATGCCACGGTGCATAACACTGAATGGTAGCCCGTTGCTATATGCCACATGCCACAGTACATGTAGTGCATGCCATGGCGCATGCCTTCTTTTCTGGCCTTGTTCTTTTGTGCTGGTTCATGTGTTTGAAGTGATGAATGAATGAAATTGTCTTCTATTGTGTACCATGTAACTAATTTCAAATTGGTTTTTAACAAACAAGTTTTAGGGTCCCAAGCATTTTAAATAATTTTATTGATAACAATTTGGTATAGGATGTGGTGATTGTGTTAACTCCTCCTAATATTAAGTGGGTATTAGGAGAGGTTACACACAATGGAAGTTTAATGTGAACATTATTTGAGTATATACATAAGAATCTATATGAACAAAGAAAAGTATGTATTTTTGCCATGGTGGAGATAAAAAATAAAAACATATTTTTATTATTTTGCCTGAAGATTAGCATGGCTTGGATGCCAATGTAGGAAACAAACAAACAAATGAGTTTAGGCCTAAAACATACCAGATTCGAGCATAGGGTTATCAATCCGAGAACCCACATGGAGAAACAAGACTACTAGAGCCTTATTTATGAGGCATAACAATTAACAAATGCACCTCAAAAGAGAGAAATAGAGAGAGTGAATAATAGAGTGAATATGAATAAACATCAACTCTGATGTGTCTCTACTCTCTATCCATCAGTTAGCTAGATCTATTTATAGCTTTGGTGGTTGAGTTATTAGGGAACCGTTCATAATAAATCCAATTCCTTAATGGGAGATAGAATACAATATCATAAATCCCTATGATATAATATCTTAGTCCCAAGTTATTTTTGATTATTCAAGATTAAATCTTTATTTAATCCTTGATTTAATCAAAACTAATTTAATCTGATATTAAATTAAATACTTGTTTAATTTAATATAATATTTGGATCCCAATCAAGGGCAGATATTATAATAATCCAACAAATAAAATAAAAATAAATTATTTAAATGAAGATGTTTAAAATTTAATTCAAACAAATGGCCGCCCTTCTACCAGAAAAGAATTTCTTTTACGTAAAGAGAGAAAAAATAATATGATTAAATGTGGTCGGGTACTCCCATTTGGCTACTATAATTTTTTATTTGAATATTATTTATTTTTTTTAAAAAAAGCAAGTACATTAACAAAAGAAAAAAAGAAGTCTACAAAATAAGCATTAAAATAGGTCTATTAAAATAACAAGAAAAAGCGGGAAAAGATACAATGTTGTGACCACATTCCTGTTGTAGTACAGAAAAAAATAACAAGAAAAAGCGGGAAAAGACATAATGTTGTGACCACATTTCTTAAAGGTGTAGTTGTTAAAGTCCTCCAGAAATTTTGAAATGTCTTTGTCCGAGTTGCTATTATTAGAATAGGTGCAAACCCCTGTTTCGCAAGCTCTCTATAATATTTCAAAAAAAAAAAAAAGTTTCTGCAAACATAGTATGGGGAATTAATAGCTTCGGATCTGCAAAGAAGCAATTCGATTCTCGTCCCTCATTGTTGAGTGATAAAGATACAGTATAGTAAGTTCTACAGTAAACTGAATTTCCAGCTTAGAAAATGTATGGTTCTTCTATTCCGTTGTTCCATTGCAGCACGTTGGTATGTAGTGCTCATTTTAAGTAGAAATAATATATTTTATTAAACAAGGTTGACCAATTACTACCTTGTACTCAGACATTTATATTTAGATTCATTTGAGTGAGCTTAGTTTTTGGATGAGAACTAATTTTTCTCCAAATCATTGCAGCTAAATCTTAAATGAGAATTTCTTTAATTCCCTGTATCCTGGTAAATATATTTCCTCTATTCATGATAAGTAAAAAGAGGGTTAATGTGAATTTTAAAAATCATAATATACAACCCCTTTATCTATTCACAAATTACCCAATCATGGAAATATTTTGTTATACTTTTAATATTATAGAGATAATCATGTTAATAACATTTGCATTATTTTTTTAAAAAAAATTTTGAGATATTCAAAAATTAAATCATATTAAATATTCACGTTCTTCTTTTTGTGTTTTTTTCCTTTTTTTCCGGAGCTTATGAAATCCGAGGGAAAACGAATGGAACACAAAATACAAACCAATTTTTCCCATTACCTATACAAGATGGATGCCTTCCAAACAAAAGTGATACAATAGACCCATCATCAAGGCATCATTCCAAACCCTAAGCAGAAAAAGTTAAAAAAACAAAAGCAACAAAGAACAGCAAAAAAAAAAAAAAAACAAAACAAAACAAAAGAAAAGAAAAGAAAAGAAAAAAGAAACAAAGGGAAGAGACACGTACAGTCCCAGTAGCAGAAAATCAAACTGGAACATGGTTCATCATTTAACATGTAACAAAGGAACACAAAGAGTTGGTTCAGACACGAGTCCCTGAAACAGGAACGTTAGTACCCTTATGCATGGGGTCTCCACCGGCCCCTCCGAGGCCATAGTTGTCGGTGTCACGGTACCCGGGACCGTACTTGCTGCTGTAGAGTCCGGCGTGGATGAGGATCAAATAAAGAAGCTGTGTGAATGTGAGGATCATAATGAAGGCCTCCACTATCCTGAGTCTCCACCCTCTGTGCCCTCCTATGTTTATTTGCTTGCATGCCAACCTGCAGTTTTATCACACACTCAAAAACTATACAAAAACAAAAAACACACAAATGTTATAATAAAGTTAACTTCTTTGATCTTTCTCTATTTTCCTTGAAAAAGCTGATTGCAATTAGATCTGAGAGACTTATAATTACTGTTATTTCAAAACAAAAAATGTATAGGAGGTAAGAAATTTCCTTCTTAGCTCCTCTCTTCTGTCGAGAATACTCGTGAGAATTTAACCACAGTGCGTTTTGTTTACTAATCCCACCGCTAGTAATATTCTTAAAATTATGTTATTTGAATAAATTAAATTAATACTCTATATGCTGTCAATTATAATACAGTAATAATATATTATTATTATTTAGTAAATAATCCTGTGTACAGCAATAAAAGAGATCTGAGAGACTTATAATCACTGTTTCAGTTCAAAACGAATAATGTATATATACTATTGAGCTAAGAAAGTTTTGAGAAATTTTCCTTCTCAGCTCTTGTCTTCTCACGGAATTTTATCGAAAGAATAAAGGGAAAATTCGTGAGAATTAAACCATAGTGCATTTTGTTTACCAATCCAACCGCTAATAATACTTTTAAAACTATGCTATGAATTATATTACAGAAAACAAATTATTTTATTTAGTGAATGATCCTGTGTAAATACAGGCATACAGCAATAACAGAGATTACGTGTATAAGTGTATATGTGTATCAGTATACATATAAATGTAAACAGATGATTGTAAATAATTGTGAGTGATGTTTAATAATTACCCAAAGGCTAAGGCAGTGACAGCCCAAGCAATGATAGAAGAAGCTCCTGCTCCTGCCAAGCTATCACTCCTCCACGTCCTTAGATGGTTCCCTCCTATGAACTTGGACACAATTCCCAACACTGAAGCTAGCAACGCGAACGTCAAAAAGAACATAGTCGCCCCGTTTCCTCCAAAACCTTAAACAAATCAAATCATGATGCCAATTACTAAATAACTAAACCCTGAAATATATATATATTTATAATCCCTGCAGAAGAACAACTATGACTTACTGGGGTGGTAGGTTTGGCCATTGATAAACCTGTTGAGACACCAACTAGAGAAGCCAAGCACAATGAAATACATGATCAAGTTCAGAAACAGTAATGGAGCTGCTATGTTTCTCCCCATTGTAGCCATTTCTTCTTCTGCCTTCAAGCTTCAAGCCCACTTCAACAATTTTGATGAACAGGTACAGAATCTCAACCTAGTTATTATTGTACCGATCGATTACGTCGACTTGTTTCACGAGACTAGTACCTAAGTACACTTGGATCTGTGAGGCGAGAAGAGGATTGTGTTGAAGCGATATATACGGGTAGTGAAAGTGGTTGAAGACACGTGTCAAGTGAGAGTGTTTTGCATGTGTTCTTTCTTGTACAGGTGTTAGGACACTTGTCGAATTTTGTGTCTGTTTCTCCCATTAAATTTGATTTTATGAAACTCTCTCTAGATCTGTCATGCAATCTCCAAGTTCGGTTAAACGGTGCCTTATGATCTAGAAGAAATTAAGAAGGAAGTAGCTAATAAGTGTTTCAACAGAACAGGACATCAAGGGGTACATCAATAGCTGTTAGGATCCGAAGTCTAACGTCTTGTTCGGTTGAGTGTAAAATTGGTAAAACGGAATTAAAATAAAAAAATAATATGTATATTTGAGTGTAAAAATAGAAAATATAAAATTATAACTGGATAATTATACAAATTAAGTAAGGTCACCGTCGTTAGATAGTTTTCTTATTTTATTTTATCAATAACCAGAATGTCTATAGGTGAAAGAAAAGTTTATTAGTTTACCAAAAAAAGAAAATATATATCAGATTTTGGGTTGTAAGATATATATTAATATTAAGTTATTATTTTGCTAATTATAATTTGTAATATCCTAAATATTAATTTGTAATAATTCTAATTGGTTTTCTGCGTAATAACCTGTTGCTTTGGAAATTGGAAGTGAGATTGAAAGTTTCTTGGGTTAGGGTGTGAAAATGGTTATTCTATATATAAAATTTGAACTTATTTATTAATTATTCAAAATTATTTTCTCAACTTTTAAGAACGGTGCAACTGAGTCTTGCTGTTAATAAAAATTAATTTTACTGTTATTTGTCTATAAATAACCAAAAAATTAAAATAAATGAGCAAAAATTTATAGATAATGATCTACAAATTTATGGATATTTTTGGCTTTTTTCTATTATTTGTTAATCAACTAACAGTCAAAATTAACTTTTGTTAATATAAGGGGCTAGATTGCAATTTTTCAAAATTTGAGGGAACAATTTATATGGTAAACAATTTAAAGATCTATGGTGCTACTATACTTAAAATTTAGGAGATAATTATCTCATTTTTCCATATATATATATATATATATAAAAGAGTTTAGGACAATTGGGTCATGGGAGTTCACCAAGTTTAAGATATACCTCTAAATTCAAAGAGCATTTACAGAAGTACTTACAAATTACTCACCAATAATGTTATTAAATTGGCAATGGGATTTCAATACATGAACTTGTGAGTGAGACTCCAAATCTTTATCAACTAAATCAATTTGTATTAGTTGAAAATTATTCTTCCTTATTAGTCGTGTTTGAGCTTTTGACATCTCAGCTTGGCTAATGTTAAATTGGTTAGAATCGTGGCTTTGCTTTTGCGTATGAAATTATTAAGAATTTAAAAGCTTGAAAAATTGCATATGGCATGGTGTATCGTTGTAATCGCTAGGCTTGGATACTTGCACTTGTGTGGGTTCGAAGTTTCTTTGTGGAGACTTGCTCATATATATGATGAATTTTCGGATGCTCGTATATGTTTCAAAGGAAAGTTAAGAATATATAAATAAATTTTGGGTATAAATTTCCATTTATAATAAAACTTCTCGTTGCTTAAGCACAAAATCTTCAGTTCAAACATGCTTGAATTAAAGCTCATAATTTTCAATTTGGTCCAAGCTTATTTGGGTTGATCCAAATAAATACAAACTTATGGGGGGAAAACCTCATATAACTAATCTTAGGCATCCTAATACTCTTGTGTTTCGGGCATATTTGAGCTAACTTGTATACTCATATTGTCAAATTTTTATTCATTTTTAATCAATTTTTCAATTTTCACTTTCAAATTAATTATTTTTATTACAAAAGTAGAAAACTCAATTTTCTTAAACAAATTTGTTGGTGTTAAAGTGTATAAACCAATATTGAAATATATTTTTTGCCCAAAAAATTAAAATATATTTTAAATATTATTTTAAGATACTTTATTGATTAAAAATAACAAAAATATTAATATTAATATTTTTAATTTTTTAAAAAATATCTATATGTAAAAAATAAATTAAGACTTAAATGATAAATTAATATCTAATATATTTTTCTATTTTTTAAAAATTTTAAAATGCTTTTTGGGCCAACCCTAAATTAGATCGAGCTTGGCCTAAATTTTTTTATATACAATTTTACAAAGCCTTGTCCTAAATTTTTATTTCAAGTTTATTTGTATTAACCTGTTAGGTTTGGCGAAATTACTGGCTCTAACATGAATGTAGAAAACATTTTTTAAAAGAAGTTACCTCATATGACAATACTAGATTTTGACTCAATCTAATGATAAATATATAAAAAAGATACTTAAACAATCAATTATATTCAATAAGATAAAAATATCTATATAGATATATTCATACTACTACAAAAAAGGGCATATTAGATGGTTAATGTAAAATAGAGTTCTCTAGTGTGCCCTCTTCACCGATATATGCATTAGAACATGTTAGTGACATTTCATATTACTTATATCAATTAATAAATTCAAAACTATTAGCAAAAACAAACATACCATGTTTTGCTCAGCCCTTTAATAACCTAATAAATGCCCATTTAGGAAGGGAAAAAAATTTCCCCCTCAACTCTTTATTCTTTTGGCTTAATTATTGCAAAACCAAAAAAAAAAAAAGAATATCATGAGTTTATTGATTAATTCTTGTATAATTATTATACAAATTACCATGATCCTTACTAAGAATGATTTGTCAGGATGCCTAGCAATAAAAGCATTCCAGTGCTCTTATTTGATAATGAGTCTTATCAACTCAAGGACTATAGGAATATTCCCTTTAGCTTGAGTTATGCATTTCATTCCTATGAAATATTGGAAGACCTGATGTGCCTTAATGCAATGTGCATGAAATAATGCCTCCAACTATCATCAATCTCAAATTCTAACTACACAACTAAGTTATAACCTCCCCAAAGTTAAACCACAATTAACTCCAAATCATAGTAATCTAGGGTTTAACTCTCAAAGGATTACCAAACTATAAGGTTTTATAAAGGAAATTTCTCAAAAATTCTTTCAAAGGAATCCCAATCTTAATAATTCAAATCTCAAACATGATTTAGTAAATTCAAATCAAAGTTTTTAAAATAAAGCAAAAGCTTGGAAATTAATTGGGACCCAAAATAACGAGTTTTAAACTCAAAAATGGACTTTGTGCAGAAAGTGTCACATGCACCGCAGCTTACGGCTTATGCGCCACGGCGTGTCTTTTCTATACCTTGCACCGCGGCGTGAGGTGCCGTGCTATGGCACATTACATGAAATTTGATAGCACAAGGCGCGAAACTTCTGATGCGTCCTAAATCTTCGTCTGACATCCGATTGAGGTGGTTTTGGTGTCTACATGAAACTTTCTCCTAACTTTGGCTAATGGCATCAGTTTCATACTCAAATTCATTTTCTATAAAAAGTTAGATAGTAAAACCCATTTTGACCACTTTTTCACAAAATCTCTCAATGGGGTGTCCTAAATCAACCACACGTGCCAATAGTTTACACCAACCATCACCAACAACTCTCAATAGATACTTATAGACTCGTGCAACACACCACACATAATCAAAAATACATATCTCATAAAATCACTACCCAACCCCAATTTTCACAAAAAACATAAAAGGGGGAGGAAAAGTTGCACAAAATCAACAATTTCATTCTAAATTTCTCAAAATACATATGTTTTTACTTGCACAAGTATTTTGGCCCTATCTACGGGTCACAACCAAAAATCACTAACTTAGGGCACAAAATACACTAGTTATACACAAAATCATGCAAGTAGCACATAAATCATGTCAATTAATCCTAGTTGGCAATTACATTAACAAATACACATGACAGTAACAAAAGAGAGGCATATAAAGGATTACTCCACAAATCCTAGGCCTCTGTATGTTTTGCCCAACTCAGATCCGATAAGCTAGGTCTTAAAAATAATAAAAATTGAGGGGTGAGTACAACCACTTAGTAACCAAGTTTTATTTAACCTATACAGTTATATATTAATTGTTAATAGATGCAATTAGGCAAATAAGAACATATAACACATAACACTCGACCACGGTTCACAAAACTAACAACCATGTGATCGGGCTTACCACAAAACACTTATCACGTTATTTAGCAAAAACATAACACAGGGTCACAAAAATAATAACCTTGCGCCCTCAACACATGCTAGACCATAAAACTAACAACCATATGGTCAGACTTATATGCATGATCATATACCAACCTTATATCCTCTTGTTACCTTTAACACGAAACCGGTGGCTATCACGTGGCTAGTCCTTCATGGACTAACCTAGCCTTTCACTTTTGAGGAGCTACTAGGTCAGAGTGAACTCACTTATGTAATCTGGTTTCCCCTAATATTAACAATCATGAGCTGTCGTACACCTAATCTAATCTCCTCATGAATGGGTGAAAACTAGTTAGGTTTGAGTCCCTTATAGAATAAGTGGGAAGTCCCGAATCAACTATAGGACAAGGTCTACCTCCTGATTCCAACGGTCAGTGCCAAGGCTAGTCCTCGATTCCAACAGTCACTGCCAATACCATGTAGATTTAAATCAATCTACTCCTTTCTTTAAGTGAACTCCTGCCAATGATCATGTTATGCATATTTCTCACATATTATGCATTTCAATAATAAATTTATGGGAAACAATCTCACATACTCATTTTAAATCACTTCACACATTCAACATATTATATATCATAAATCTCCACTTTTGTAACAACATGCTACAAGTAATTTTTAAATCACAAGTAAGTGGCAAAATCAACATTTCGTTTACCAAAATCATTTCACAAGCTTAACATTGCCCGAATGCATCATACATTTAAATCTTTAGTCATATTTTACAAC